TCTATCTTGTTTTCGTTTTACTTCAATTTGTCGTAGTACTTGAATTTATTTCAAGGGGAGACTTCGATTTATATGAAATTTTCTTGTTAAATAGTCGAACGTAATTATTCCTCGGAATTGGAACAAAGTTAATTTTTTAAAAATGCAAAATAATTTTTTTTTTTGGAAAAAAGAAAATAATGTAATTTAATTAATCTTAATGGCTCTTTATTATTTTGGATGAACATTTGTGGAAATCGAGAAGTGCACATTGCACTGGTCCATTATTAGTGAAACATTATAAGTACATAGCGTAGTTCTGGTTCTTATACATCCAAAGAGCAAAGCAAACTGACGGTGCCTTAATAGCATTCTACGTAATTTTCCCCCAGCTTGACGTTACAGTATACGTATGCTGCGGCAATATCGTAACTCAATTAGATTCACTTAAACCTCTTATATTTGTTACTTATGGAGTATACTCTCTTTTCCTAGAATTATATTTTATCTCACTAAAAACACTCTTCAACTTTATATAGAAGAAACTCCACAAGTAGCCTAGTTATTTATCGGATATTAATTCTTCACATCGATTGAATATATAGTTTAATGATCAAAGTCACATTAAAAAAAAAGTCACTTTTAATTAATTCTCGCAGAAAAAGAGAGCTTTTTTTTAATATATATTTTTTTATTCCCCTTTTTATAACCTCAGTTTTACTATCATATATTTATATCATAATATATTAGTGATAATAACAATATCCAGAGATATTGAACAAATAAAAAGGTAGTAAATATAAATAAATTTAAATGATCATAAGAAGAGAATTTAAATAAAAATTAAAAAAATTTAAATAATCAAAAGAATAAAAATATCAATAAATATTATAAATAATAATAATTATTAAAATTATTGTATTCAATTTATATAAGTTAATAATCAAAGGACTAATTATTATTATATTATAGTCATTTGATAATAAATTTACATATAATTTTCAATTTAACCCTGCAGCAAATAGTATATTATTTACAGATCACTAAATAATAATGATATAATTAATAATAATTTAAAGTTATATAGAATTTATAAAAAAAAAAACTTTTTTATTTTCAAAAACAAAATTACTGGAGAAAATTATTCATCACGAGCATTGAAAAAAAATTCTCATAAAATTTTCATTCATACAGATCATTTAAATGCTATCCTCTTTCAATCGTTGTGACGTGTTATAAATCCCATTATACTTGAAATACTAGAATAAATTTTTTGAAATGCAATTTTTTTTTTTAAATTTATAATTTGATAATTAAAAACTTTTTAAATTACGTTTTAATCTTGATGTTAATTAAAAAAAACAGTATCTAAATATTAAACCAGCGAGAACAGTGAAAAAATATGTATTTCATATAGAAAACAATTTTAAATGGTTAAAAAAAAAAAAATTTGCTTTATCTTGAAAAAAACTATATATGAAAGAGAGAGAAATGTTTTTGATTGTTTTTTTTTTTAGTATGTGCCCTCCAAAAGAATAAATGTGTCGAAAAATTTGTAATTTTTCCGAGAGCTTTACTTTCATCGCGGATGATTAATTTTTGCTTGATAATACTTTTTTTCTCTTCTCTCAACCCATTTTTACTGATGCTTTGTTCGCGTTTAAAAAAAAAAAAAAAAAAAATGTAATCATGTAATGTAAATTTCAAAAAAAAATTTTTCCCCCTTTTTTTTCAACAATGCGAAAGATTTTACATGTATATGTATATCTATATTATATTATATATGCGGTCGACATCAGACTAATTTCATAAATTGTTTATTCGTGACCAATAACTGAAAGTAATTCAACATAATTTTGCAAATTGAATTTGTCCAAGAAGCCCTGATTAAATATAGGCACAGTGCAGTATAATTAAGTAGTGTTTGCATTACGCGAGGGCTGCAGATGGTTTTGGACAGACAATCAATTAAAAGCCTTTGCTTTCAATGAACAGAGGGATATAAAACCACTGGGGACTTTTGGTTGGGGGGGAGGGGGGAAAGGTACAAGTAGCCACTTGCGAAAAGAAAATATCAGGGAATTTTAAAAAAGTACTACTGCTTATAGTTGGGGGCATTTTTTTTTTCAAGTTAAATATTTGGTTTAATATAAGAAATGATAATATCAGAGCTGAATTTCTAATAATTTTTTATTAATTTTCAAAATATTTAATTAAAATTTAAAAACAAAAAATATATTTTTTTATATTTAAAGCATACACAATAATGCATTATTCTCCATAATTCTTTGAATAAAATTGTATAATGTTTGCAATACTGAATTTAATGTTCAGTTCATAAAATTCAATATTCGCACTTGCATATCACGTTTAGTATTATTACGAACATGTAGCATTAATATTTTAATATGAAAATCAATATTGAATTTTGAATAGCATTTTACAATAGGAAATCAATTATTTATTTGCTCTTACAAATAATAGTATTTACATTATAAAATAATGAGCTTTAGACTTAATTATATATTCCAGGTTGAATTAATCAAAAAATAATTTTATAATTTTCAAAAATTTAAATACTTATTAATGGAAAAAAAATGAACAAACTATTTTAATTATAATATATTTTATTTGGAATTTTTATGTAAAAAAAAAATCTTTAATAAGTTCAATTTAAATTTTGAAAACAGAAAACTCGGTTTCTAGCACGATTCTAATATATTTTTCTCTTAATGTGTGAGAATGTGACATCCTTGGCAGGAATTTCATGTTTCGCGTCTGACTTTAAAGGAACTTATACTACTTTTACCCTCCAGGACTCAGAAGCAGAAATAAGCAGTAACGAAGCGGCAAAAATGGAGAGAGTGCACACACCGTCGCACCTCTTTTTCCACCACGTTGATTCAATTTCTACTAAAGAATTCAGAATATGTGAAAAAATCACTTACGATTGCAAAGAAAAAAAAAATAATTTTTTTTTTTCCTTTTTATATAAACTCAGAGGAGATTTTTAATAATGAAACGTATAAATTTTTGACAATTTTTCTTCTTTTTTTAATTGTAATGAACCATTTTTTTTTTAAATAAAGTAATATTTATAAATATTTTTTTTGGATAAAATAGAGAGAATTTTACAGAGGAAAATGACACGTGAACAATTTTTTTTAAATATAAAAAAATTGACAGAGGAAAATATTAATTGTTGCATGTACAATTTATTTGATATAAAAAGTTTAATGTTCATAGAGATATTTACTTATAAATCCAGAAATATTTATTTTTATCATAAATAAATTTTTTTTTTTTTGTTTTTTTTTACATAACAAAGTCCAATTCTCGATTGAATAAACATGCCAATAACTCCAATATTGCTTACAAAAATTTGCTTTTCAATTCTTTTCGCAATTTGCGATATTCATAAAAAAAAAATTTGTTTTTTCTATTACTGAAGTAATTTTGAAATAAATTTTATTTTTAATAATAATAATAAAAAAAATTTAGTGGAGCTTAAATATGATGACAAAAGGATTTTTAATTATTTTCCATACTAGAAATTCAATTTCATAATAAATTAATGTATATTTATTGTTGTTAATGAGTTGTATTTAAATTAAACATTTTGAGGACAATGAAGATTATATTTGATTGAATGTGAAATTAATTTCTATTTAGTATATAATAAATCAAATATTATATGTAACATACAAAGAGGTGTATTGTTTAAGCTAAAAGAATTCTTTCCGCAGAAGCGATTGATTTTCCTCGGTAAATAATTCAAAGTCCAAACCGTTAATATTTTATTGTCTAGAAGTTAAATTGAATTCACGACCCTCGTTCGAAACTTAAAAAAAAAGTCGAAACCTCGGAACGTAGATTGAATGTTTTATTTTTACGGTACCAATCCCTGGTTTGTAGCGTTCCATGCGTATACATAGATGGAAAATAGAGAGAAAATGGATCGGCATACCAACCGAATGTTGCGCAAATTATCTTTTGATTTGAAGTAGACTGCTAATGGTGTGAATACTTTTTTGCAAATCCAGTTTCTCGTGCTTTGTTTTGTTTTTTTTTCTGTGGCGATGAAAATTTATATATGCAGAGAGGGATATCAATAATTTGATATTCGCAATATGGGGGAAATTTTTTTGGTTTCTCTTTTTATTGTATTGTTTTTTTTTTTGGCAAAAGGTTTCGAAACATATTTCATGAGAGATAATCACTCTCGATTTCCAATTATCTGATTATATTATATATTACCTCTAATAATTCAAGCAGAAGAGGTTTTGTTAGGCTTTAGATTCTAAAGGATTACCCCTAAAGGACTTTGTTGAACATGTTTTGGAGATTAGTATATAAATTTTCTACATGAAGACCAGCTAATGGGCTTTAAATTAAAATAATTACACTTGTAACTTAATTACCAGCTAAATATTATTAAATTAAGGATAAAAGGAAAAATTTCGCAAAAATAATAAAATAACTAATTTATTTATTTATTTTTCAGATTCACAAAAATGAAAAGAAGGATAGGAGAAGAAAATTGATTTGATCTTCTCTTTTGTCTTTGAGTGGATTTAATCTGTACGCTCACATTGGGTGTAACGGATTAAAATTGGCGGTTTGGGCATCGATGACTGTGTGACCATAAATGCGACAGGGCTTTCAGCAGCGATACGCATTCTTGTTAGTACGGATGTCTACCTATATAGAGACAGATAGACAGATATATGAACCAGTACCAGCAGCATAGCAGTGCCAGGAGAGCATTTGAAGCGAATATAGCTATATATATATGTGAATGTGTGTATGTATTGAAGGACCGGCCTGCCAAACCCCCATATATACTACACTGGCAACGTTCTCTCTAGTTATTGATAAACGGGTGTGAGGCCCGCGGAGCGCATAAAACAAGGATACCCTGCACCTAACCTGACCGAAGCACCGGAATAATATCCATGGGTGCTACGACCATGACTATGGCCACGGCTCGTGGGGATATATATATATATATATATGTATATGTTGGATATAGAAAGGGTGGGAGTCACCTTTTGATTTTGCGCACTGGGTTGAATCCACCACCACCACCACCATCATCCCCGTTTGATGCTTTCCATGCTTGGTGAATTGGTGCAAGAGAGAAACATCATCGCGTGAAACGAGATGCGAGACATTTCACCCGGCCAGAGTGGGGATTCCTGGATGCTGGCTCTACGGATACACGAATCTCCTGGTATCAGTGTGCATCGGAAACAACCCCTCTAAATAACATATCCCGTGCGATACGACTTTAACTCAACTACAAGAGTAAGTCCTTATATACGGATAATAACAATATTTCTATATATATCTAAATTCATTCATATTTTCTTTTTTGCTTATTTTTCTTTTTCTAAATCGAAATTAATTTTTTCTTTTTTTTTTGAAATTAGAAAAAAAAATTTGATTTTGCCGAATCAATTTTTTTTTACTGTGTGGAATTCCGGGAACCTCTGCCATGACAACTGCCTCGCGATACTACACGTTTCTCGCGACTGGATCATCCAGGGAACGTTTTGAATCACTTTTGAACGGTGAGTGAATTTTTTTTTTTGTTTTTCTAATTTGAAATTATTATCATCATCAAGTGACAAGTGTAAATTGAGTGGCGATTAATTTTTTTTGAGAAAAAAAAAATTTGTGCGTATACATCTCTTTTTTTTTTTACTGAGAGAGAGAGAGATATCATTATCTGCGTCAACTGCAGATGATAATAAAAAGGAAGGAGAAAAAAAAGGTGACGGAACGTGAAATAGGTAGAAAAACTATAATTCTGCGAAGAAAAAAAAATTTGCTTTTCCTTTGGTATAAAATTATTTCAAGGATTGGTTGTACTCTAAAAATTAAATCTTAAACAAGATATATCTGAAAAAATTTTGCGATTCGAATTTATTTGAAGATTGGGTATGAAATATGTTTTAGTTCTCTAAAATTGTTTGTTTATTTGAAAAATTAAAATTTAGTTACAATTTTGTTTTTTGAAACAAAAATTTGTTGATAGCACAGAAAATTAAAAGGCATTAAAATAAGTTGCAACGCTTATTATTTTAATCCAATTTTGCTTATTTTTATCCATTTTGGTATTAAAATAAGCAAAATTGGATTAAAATAATGAGCGTTGCAGCTTATTTTAATACCTTATAATTTTCTGTGAGTGTTGGATATAAAAATTTTGATAGTTTTTCCTTAAACTATTGATAATCAAATTGTACTGCAAAATTGTTGATAGCGTTATAATTTCTATAGTCATTTTTCAAATTACCGACAGTCGAATTATTTTTATATTCTTTAATTAGTAAAATTAACAAGTTTCTAAATTTCTTAATTTTGTCAAGTATTGATAGCTTTCTATAAATTATATTATGACAATAATCAAATTGATTATTGCCTTTTCAAACTATATTAATAATCCGGTTAATAGTTTTTCTCGTAAACTATTGATAAACAATTTAATATTTGTTTTCGAAACTATTGGTAAACAATTTTATAGGGGTTTTTTTTTTTGCAAACTATATTATTGATAATTGAAAATAGGTCCAAGTTAAATTGTAACATATGCCGCTGGTATATTTATTAAACGGGTGTAACAATTTTATTAGAAGAGATAAAATTCACTTTAGTGTTGAATTCAGGTAGTGGAATGATTATTTCATTTAATAAAATGATCGTTTCGATTAATGAAATGACCATTTCGATTAATGACTATGATGGTCATTTAATGTAATAGTATGATCATTAGAACTAATAAAGTGGTTAATTCCACCAATATATATATATATATATATATATATATATATATATATATATATATATATATATATATATATATATATATATAATGCTTTAACTATAATAAAGTTTCAACTAATAAAGTTCAAAATTAATAAAGTTTCAACTATAATAAATTTTGCCAATATATAATAAATATAGAATTTAAATTTAGAAAATTTTAACTACATAAAATATTGTTTTAATTAATTAAATTTGTAATTAAAAGTTTTTTTTTTCGTTAGTTACTTTATTACTTACGATTTCAATAAAATGCAATAAGAATGTGAAATTTTAATAATTAAAAATTTCACCTTTTTGAATTATAACTAACAAAACATTGACTCTGAACAGAATTTAATTAATTAAAAGTCAACAAGTGATGTTTTCATTTACATTATACAATTAGCTAATTAAATCAATTTTTTTTTTCGAATTAAAATGATTTTTTCAAAAAGTAACGCTTTATCGATTTTGACGTTTTTTTTTAATTAAATGAAAAAATTAATTTTTGCTATTAGTTCAATGAATATATTTAATAATAAGGTTTTAAAATAAGTTACAAAACTCCATAGTTAGGAAAAAAAGGAAAGTCTGACTATAACGGGATTTTACTACTGATATCTAAAATAGAAAAATTCGATTCGGTATGACTGAAATTTACTTTTACTACTTAAATTTAATTTTACAAATTCTAAATATTCAGAAAAGTTAAGTCTGACTAGATTTTATTTTTACTACTTATTCGAGATTATAATAGTTTAGAAAAGACTTGTCTGAGTGAAACTTTCTTTAACTACTGATTTTAATATTTCAGACATGGCTAAAGGAACCATGTCTGACTGAACTCGACTTCTACTACTTATTCTATAAATTAGAGTAATTTAGAAAATTTCTGCCTGACTGAAACTTACATTAAATACTGTGAAGTCTGACTAAAATGGTCTTTTACTACTTTTTCTTAGATTATAACAATTTGGAAGATTTCTAAACTAAAACTTTGTACTATTGATTTTAAAATAACAGACATTCTTGAAGGGATTATATCCGACTAAACTCGATTTTCACTACTTATTTCGAAATCAGAAGGAATTTAGAACATTTCTGTCTGACTGTAGGTTACTTTAACTGCTGATTTATATTTCTAAATGTATGTATTTCTAGAGTATAAAAATTTAAAAAAGTTCTCTCTCACTGCAAAGTACTTTAATTGCTAATTTCAAAATCGCATGATTTTTTGAAGGCATTATGTCTGACTAAAACTAACTTTAACTACTGATTTCAAAATAACAGACTTTCCTAAAGGGATTATGTCTGGCTAAACTTTACTTATAATACTGATTTCAAAATTATATTATGTCTCACCAAAGCTGACCTTTACTACTGATATTATAATTACACAATTTTCTAATTGTCTAACTAAAACTGATTTTTACTACTGACATTGGAATTATATAATTTTGATTAATATATTTTATTAATTAAAATTTTAATTAATTATATAATTTATATTATGTCTGACCAAAACTGAGCTTTACTACTGATATTAAAATTACATAATTTTGAAATATTCTGACTAATACGGACTTTTACTACTGATACTAAAATCACGTAGTTTTCTAAAAATATTATGTCTAACTAAAAAAAATTTTTACTCCTGATTTTAAAATTATATAATTTTCTAACCGTCTGACTAAAACTGACTTTTACTACTGACAATGAAATTATATAATTTTGATTAATATATTTTATTAATAAATATTTTTTATATTAATTATAAAATTTATATTATGTCTGACCAAAACTGAGCTTTACTACTGATATTAGTATAATTTTCTAAATGTCTAACTAAAAAGAATGTTTACTTCTGATTTTAAAATTATATAATTTTTTAACCGTCTGACTAAAGTTGACTTTTACTACTGGCATTGAAATTATATAATTTTCTAATCGTCTGACTAAGACTGACTTTTACTACTGACAATGAAATTATATAATTTTGATTAATATTTTTTGTATTAATTATAAAGTTTATATTATGTCTGACTAAAAATGACCTTTACTACTGATATTAGAATAATTTTCTAAATGTCTAACTAAAAAGAACGTTTACTCCTGATTTTAAAATTATATAATTTTTTAACCGTCTGACTAAAGTTGACTTTTACTACTGGCATTGAAATTATATAATTTTCTAATCGTCTGACTAAGACTGACTTTTACTACTGACAATGAAATTATATAATTTTGATTAATATTTTTTGTATTAATTATAAAGTTTATATTATGTCTGACTAAAAATGACCTTTACTACTGATATTAGAATAATTTTCTAAATGTCTAACTAAAAAGAACGTTTACTCCTGATTTTAAAATTATATAATTTTTTAACCGTCTGACTAAAGTTGACTTTTACTACTGGCATTGAAATTATATAATTTTCTAATCGTCTGACTAAAACTGAGCTTTACTACTGATATTAAAATTACACAATGTTTTGTCTAATTTTGACTTTTACTGCTGATAATAAAATTACGTAATTTTCCAAAGGTATTATGTCTGACTAAAAATGACCTCTACTCCTGATTTTAAAATTAAATAATTTTCTAGACGTCTAACTAAGACTGGCACTTACTACTAACGTCAAAGTTACATAATTTTCTACATGTACACTCAGAAAAAAATTCGTTTGAATCAACCAAATTTTGGTTAAATCAACAAAATAAATGCATTGATATACAGTTAACCAAACATTTGGTTGCATGAACCAAACGTTTATTTAGCTCAATCAAATTTTTTCTTTGTTCAAAAAATTTATTAAAATAAACCAAACAGTTATTTAGATCAAATAAATATTTATTTAAATTAAACAAATTTTGTTTGAACTAACCAAAAAATTGGGTAAATTTAAAAAAATGGTACATTTGGTTCAAACATATCTTTTTTCTGAGTGTATTATATGTCTGATTTAAATTGATCTTTACTACTGATATAAAAATCTCATAACAAAGTATGTCTGACCAAAAACTGATCTTCACTACTGATTACAGAAATAAATTTAAAAAATTGGAATTATAGACTAAATTTTCTATAATTTTTCCAAAAAATAACGAAAAATGTTCCATTAAATAACGCGAAAAATTAAAATATTGCTTTCTTTAATAGACACTTTTGTGTATCTTAATTTTTTTTTTGTGTTTTTTTTTTTTAAATACAAAAAGGCACTTTGGGGAGGAATTAGAGCCTAATCGAATAATTGACTCGCAAAGGGTATAGCGGTCCGCCCATCAAAGTTGGGGTGGGTAAGTGATTGTAAGGGTGGCGAAATGTCGTGTATAACGTATGTCTCTTGAGGGAGATGATGTTGGGTCGTGCGTGAACCATCAATTTTGGAATTCTCCTTCTTAAGAATCTCCCTCGTGTTCTAAGGGAATGTACCTCATTTTTTTTCCACACACACTACTCATCCTCGCGTCCCCCCCCACCATCATCACTTTTTTCTCACGTTTTCCCTTTTCTTCAGTTGATCTGTTGCAAAAATCGCGGAGACCTTTGCCACTATGAAAAAACTTTTTTCCCAGAGAAAGATTTCGGAGGGGGGGGTGAGAGGAACGAGTTTTCGTAGGTAGAGAAAGAAAAGCTTTGAGCCCGCGAGGATTGAGGATTTTCAAGAGAAGAATTTTAATGTGTACTTTCCTAGATTTACGACGTCACCGCTCCTCGGGATACATTTACTTAACGGCCCTTGTGCGGAAGGGAACTTGTG